TATATTTTAAACCTATCACAAAGATTTCCAATATTGAAACCATATTTCTCTATATTATTTGAAGGTAGGCTTTACTTTGATTGTTTAGAGCCTCGGCTCTATACAAACCGCACCCTTGTTTTATACTATCTTGAATTGTTTTAAGGGATTACACATGATTATTTTCTTATTTTTATTTTCCTATTAATTTGCCGTGTAATGCACGTTTGGACACCCAACCATATTCTTCATAAATATTTTAATACTATTCTATATTTATTTATTGGATGAAGTTTTTATAGAGCTTAAACTTTTTGACAACAAAATAAAACTTCACCTCAAATCCTTATTAGACAAATGACTTTAAAATCAATTTTCAACATCGACATTAAAAATTGAAACTCAAAAATTAATACAGATCTTATGGATACGTGAATGCTTATTTTTAAGGTGAAATAGATAGTCTAGATGATTTATTGTAATGTACACTACTTTTAGATTTTAAAATCCTAATATTTTGTGGGTGTGAAAGAGAGACTTTATATGCTTTATCTAGTGTGTGAGAGAGAGCCTATGTGCTTTACTTTGTGTGAGAGAGAAAGAGAGCTTATGTTCTTTATCTTGAGAGAGAGCTTAAGTGCTTTATCTTGGGAGGTGGGACAGGGAAAAAAAGTTATTTGACATGGTATTATATTGATTTTTAGATGTATTTTATTGACCTCTAAATATAAAATAGTTACCAGCTTTACCTAGGGTTAGGGTTGGGCATGTCGGTCGAGATTACTTCGTGCTCTCAACTAACTCTCATTCTTTAACTGATTATCAAGAAATAAAGGGCCCCCCACCTTTATTCCTGCCCATAGTCATAAAATTCCATAAATTTTCAAAATCAGATTCATTAATTTAGCATTTAAAAAAGATCTATCTATTTTTAGTATTTTTTAAAATATCAAACAAAAATTCATCTTAGTTTTATTCAGTGTTTTGAAACCTAGAGGTGGGGCTGATCGTTCACCTACAAATCCATGTTAGAATGTTGGACTGGTGATCCATATTGGGTTTGGATCACTTCAAGCCTGGTAATCAAGAAAAATATCAAAAAACAATTGAAATAAAATAAAAATTAAAACAAGGGTTTTATGTTGTTTTGGTTTGGGATTAGGGACTTGAAGAGATTTAAAAGAAGCCTAAGAAAATATTATACAAGCTTAAAAAAAGGGAAAAATATATATGAGGGGGCATTTTAGGGGAACTAGGCTGAGACCATACCATCCCAGAACCAATTCAATCCTGAGCACTTTCCATCTAGATTGGTGATCCAAATCAAACATCGTCAGGTTTTAAAAGAGTGATTTTATTTGTATGTTTTCATAGAAAAGTTTATATAAGGTGTCAGCCTTATACTGAGTAAGATGCACCTAAAACACCCACTAGATAAGGTTGTCCCTATGTTGGAAAACCCTTAAAAAGAGATTTTTAGTCCTAAAAATAGTTAATTTTTTTACACATTATCTGGACCTTTCATTTTCAAGATTTTTAAGTGTTTATAGATATACTTGATTGTCACAATTTCTCGAACTTCAAATTTTATAATTGGGGGCAACAATAGATTTTCATATCATCACAAGGCTTTGCAGCATCGAAACTACATTTTCAGTATAGTTTTGAGGTACAACTTACTTGAATAGTATAAGGTTGACACCTTATACAACAAACCTCACCCTTTTTTCATTGTATTTATAAAATTTAAACTTATTTTTTGAGAACTAAATTTCCTATGACACATTTTAGGAATGTTAATCTGTCCCTCTAATTTCCTCTCTCAATTTAAGATACAAAGGGTCCTAAATTAGATTTGTGTAATACTTTCCTTCATTTTCATCACATGCTCTCTCTCTCTCAATTTGAGGGACAAATAAAAGGTGTGGTTTGCATAAGATGTCAACCTTAAGGTGTACCTCTAAATCTTGCTAAAAGATGCAGTTTTGATTTGAAAGCCCTTACCATGTTTTAAGAATCTACTTTTACCCCTAGTTATGAAATTTAACCCCAAAAAGTGTAGATAGAGTAGATCTACAAACACTAAACTTTTTTTAAAACAGAAGGTCCACATTATGTGTTGCACTTGAAATCACTTATATCTATACATATTGACCTCTATATGATCAAATGTAGGGTTCTTTACTTCGAAACCACCTCTCTCTTCTTCTTTTTTTGATAAATGTTATTTTTATTTATTTGAAATAAAAGAAAGTTACCCAAAAAGGGATTCTATCTTTAGAAATAAAACGCGAAGGCAAGGAAGCTCTACCCTTAGCTAAAACTTCTGCTAAAGAGTTAGCTTCCCTAAAAACATGCTGGAAAAAAAAACACTCGAAACCTCCTCTTCGAATCTATTTGTGAGATATACTTTACTTCTACAACATATTAACACTTTATATAAATTTTTTCCAAAATATAAAGGGGCATATGCTATTATTCTTTCACCCGTTTAAAAAAAAAAAAAATGATATTGTGCTTTGATTCACATCTCTCTCTCTCTCTCTCTCTCAAATTCTAAAATTGTGGGACAGGTTAAAGGTGCCAAAATGGAAGAGTTGTGTAAGCATGGACCATGCCTTTATTCCTTCATTCACATTACTCCAAAGTCCAAATCACATTACAAAATGGGAAGAGGAAGCTGCCGAAAGATGGTTGCTTGCACCGGCCTATCTTATCTATTTTGGGCCCTAGGTGTCACCATTTCTTCTTAGCAAATCCCTTTCCAATGGCGGTTTTGAAAAAGGAAATGTTCCTTAAACTTTTCAAGGTTGAAGTTATTCCATCTCCCCATGAATCTTCCTTTTTTTTTTCTTTTTCTTTTTCTTTTTTTAAATTAGTTTTGAATGGGTCAAGACCCTTTAGGATGAGGTTTGTATAAGGTGTCAACCTTATACTATTGAAGTAAGGTACGCCTCAAAACTATGCCGAAAATGTAAGTTTCGCTTGATGCAAAGCTTTACGTTAATATGAAAATCTATTGTTGTCCATAATTATGAAATTTAAATTTTCATAAATGATTATGATGAAGCAGATCTATACACACTTGAAAATATTGAAAATTGACGGTCTAGATAATGTGTCAGAACATGAACTATTTTTAGGACTAGAAATCTCTTTTTTTTTTCATATCCATCAATTTCGATATCGAGATGATCGATTTGAAAGTTTTCCAGCATAGGAACAGTCTTTTCAAGTGGGTTTTTTCAGTGCACCTCACCCGTACAGTATAAGGTTAATACCTTATATAAATTTTTTCCTTTAAAATTACAAGGGGTATTAAAAGACAGAAAAAGTTTATATAAGGTTGCAAACTTACTACGTAGAACTACAAATGCACTTCAAAAATCCATCAAAAAAGTTATTTGAATGTTGAAAAACCTTCTAGTTGATCATTTCGATATGGAGATGTATGAGTATGAAAAAGACAAAGATTTTGAGTCTAAAAAATAATGTATCTTGACCCTCCATTTTCAAGATTTTCATATATTTATAGATCTACTTGATTTTAACCATTTTTGGAGTTTAAACTTTTATAATTAGATATGAAAATAGATTTTCAGATAATCTTAATAATTTTTTACACCAAAATTACATTTTATATTAAAATTTGGAGGTGCGCCTTAATTGGATCGTTTAAGGTTGCAACCTTATAGAAACCACACTCTTAAAAGACTCCAATTAATTTGTTTTTCAAACTTCAGTTCACTCTGGTACTTTGTTTAAAATTATGTTCAAAATTGTCTAATTATTCTTGTTCAGGTTAAGGAACCTTGAATAAGGAGCGTTATTTCAAAAGTTTGACCCACCCATGGAAGCAAGGGTACTAACTTCATTTGGTTGGAGCCTATTAGATACGTCAAATTATTAAAATCCCTGATTGTTGAAGATCCTCAATCCTTCAAAGGGGCATTTTTACTATTTTCAAAGATATACCAATTGATATTAAAATTAAGAAGTAAATTCTCTAGTGTTAATTGTGATATTTTGACCCTTCTTTATGGATTTATCACCCTTAAAATAATATTCCCCCTTTTCATTTTAATGTTAACATGAATCCCTGTATCACTCATTGGAAAAATGATTTACATGTGCTGGTTTGGTACTAAGAGGCCATGGCCCCAATACAAAATGCTCAAAACCCACAGATTATGGGAGATGCCTCAACAATTGACTCTTTCGCCAAAAAAATTCAGTTTGTTTTTTTTTTCTTGTTCTCCTCTCTGAATGAAAACGCTGGAATTCCTCCTCTGAATGTCATTGATTTCATGAATGACTAGGATGAGGTGCCATGGCCAAAGTGCCATTCCTGATGATGTTCAGGGAATCACCTTACATCACCGATTGTTGACAAATAACCTGGCCACTCATTTTGATTGGACAGTTGGGAATAATAGTCACATATATTTTATTCGTGGGCGGGCAGCGCTGCATATAAAAGCCGTCGCCATGCATGACAGGATGAGGTTGATAGTTGGGTCTATGGATTTTGCTTTCTGTGGATTTCGAGGAACATTCCTTCCCACTCTAACTTAGTTCTCTCATGAGTAGTCTGCATACTGCAAAGAATTTTTAGCTTCTATCAGTCCTAAACTTTCATTTGAGGCCATGACTCCTTTTCTAGTTGTTGGTTCATGAAATTAATTTTTAATCATGTAAAGCATTAAACCAATTTAGGATAGAAATTGTATACAATGAAACTATTTACCTTTGGTACAAAAAAATCACAATTATTTATAACCATCCGATGTGAAATTTGATAGCTTAGGTGTACCACAAAGTTCGAAAAAAAAAAATTTGAACTTTGAGTTTGGTAAATGAAATAAATGCAGCCACCCTATTTTACAATTTAATGATCAAGATTCATTGTGTCCACCATATACTAAAGAGAACTGGTCTCATTGTCCACTTGTCCTTTAGTAGATTTAAAATTTTAAGTATTTTTCTTAAGAGACAAAATAAACGATATATGCTCTCCTGTAGCAAAAAAATAGCACTCAACATTCAATTCTTTGACAACACAACATGTCACATATCACCGAGCAATCGGAAAATTCTTTTTACTCACTCTCTCTCTCTCTAAATGACTAAAGAAGTGTCAACTCTCTCTCTCTCTCGTGAGTAGACAGACACTCGCAAGCTGCAACGGGCTTGCAGGACAAGAGTTGGACAGCCAACGGAGAGGAGAGAGAGCTTCATCTTCAAGGAAGTCAGTAAGTGCTGCTGGAAACTTGCTTTCTCAGCATCAATGATGGAGTCGGTGAGGCTCAGGACACACTATCGTCTCAGAGAGAGAGACAGAGAAAAACCCTTGCTGTCATATTTCCGCTTCGGCAGCAAATATAAATAAATAAATCGCAAAACACTATTGTAATAGCCTCAGGGGGACGGGGACGGGGACGGGGACGGGGGGAGGGGGAGAGAGAGATCACATGTCAGAAATCAGCAGAGTGTTGCCTGACCCTTGCCTTCTCGGCATCAATGATGGATCCCACAAGGCTCACAGCTTGATCAAGCTTTCCTTGTGCATTCACCACCACATAATCGAACCTTATCATGTGTTTCACCTCTTCTCGTGCAGTGGCAATTCTCACAAGAAGAGTCTCAGGGGTCTCAGTTTTGCGATCTATTAGTCTCTTCACAAGTTCGGCCTCACTCTCTGCAACCAAAAATATGAAGATTGCCGAGTCCTTGAGTATGGAGCGAAGGGTTGCGACCCCTTGTATGTCCACCCTTAACACAATGTCAAACCCCTTTGACATGTAGTCCCTAATCTGTAAGGAACAGGTGAGCATGAAATCACAGAGAAGGTTGGTCAATCATATTATGTGTGTGTGTGTGTGAGAGAGAGAGAGAGAGAGAGAGGATAAGATTGGTTTGTAATGCGTCTGAAAGATATTTTTTTGGATATTTTCATTGGAAACTGTAACTGAGCCTGAAAGAATATTATGGATCACAAAATTCAGAATGTCGATTCGCGTTTCTTGAAACAAAAGACATTTACTATTCAACCCAAGAAAGGAACAAACATTATTTTTATGTGTACCTCTGCCAACAATGGGTGCTCATAAGGAGCCATAAATTCAATTTGGTGGCAAACAAAATGCAACATATTACAAAGGTTCCTTTGAAATGGAGAAGTCAAGGAATACAAATTTACATTCCATGCTAGAGAGGGAGAGATGCAAGCCGAAGATAGATATGTAATAGGAGATTCGAGAGTAGTAATAAGACGCTACAGGACACAAGGGCACTGGAGGTTTGGGTTGATAATGAATCTTATTTTTGTTATCATTAGTCATTATTTAAAGGTGATTGATGGTTGGTTTAACTGACCTATTGTCCAAAAGATGTCATCGATATGGATTATGAGTTACTTTTTCTCTTCTTTCCATTGCCAGAGTCTTTGTTGAACGATATATGAGGAACGACTTGGAGTTCCTCGAAGCTTTTTGGGCAACCAAAGGATAAGGACACCAACGTTCGGGGCCATTTTTTCAGGACAGGAAGAGAGGCAAAGTAACAAGGTGCCAAGTTTCGGAAAGTACTAGAGAGATAGGGGAGTAAAATAGTCGGCTAGAATTTTCGGAATATTCATTATTCCTATTACAGGGGTTGGTATACAGATCTAAATTTAGAATCTTAGTTGTGTCTCCACATTGGATTTTCCATAAATCCGTTTGTAAGCCAGTCTTAGCATCGTCCATCCATTAGAAATATACTAAACATCTTCATAAAAAAGAATCTCAATTACTGAATTTTCTTAAGATGAGTAAATAGGCCAAAGAGATCAACCTGCTAGTTCACTGTGAGTTGCTAAGAAGGATCTGAGAATATCTCCTTGTACCTATGGTGTTAACCACATAATTTTTTCTCTCTTTTGGGGCATAATGGAGCAGGAAATAATATAAGCACGATGTTAAAAACCTTTTGTGCATAATATCTGCATAACAAGATGTAAGTCATATCACAATTTCAGGAGGAAAAAAAAGACACAAGTCATATCAATGCCACATCCAAGGGACTTTAGCCTTTAGACCACCAACTAAGTTAGACCAACACTGCATCCAAGTGAAACTGAAATTTTAAGATTTCATGCTATCGTCAGATTCTTTTCGGAATGTATCAAAATTTTCACAATTTTTTTTCCCCTTAACAGTTAAATATAAATATGAAGAAACAAAGACAATGCTTTTCCTCAGTTTTCTGAATTAGTCTCATATTTCCTTGAATACCACATTTAATAAAGATAGAAAATAATGTCTTTGAAAAATTGGAGGGTCCTTCTAAGCAAATCCATTGGTTCACAAGGCCAATTTATCCGTTGAAAGTTGAAACCACAATGGAACATTCACAGTTGATCCTATGAAAACTTATCAAAGAAGCAAGAAATCATGACAAGCTATAGTAATAATGGGAAATAAACTACTAATAAAAATTCATTGTAGATAATTCTTAAAACTCTAGCATGTCTCTTTCATAATACGATCAAGTACCTGCTGTTTGGGGATGCCCTTGTAATCTCCATATACAAGAGCATATTCCAAAAGTTCATTCCTCTCGACCATTGCAAGGAAGTGCTCCTTGGTGACAAAGAAATAATCCTTCCCATCTACTTCACCTGGTCGTTTTGCTCGGCTTGTTGCAGAAACAACAAAATGTATTCCTTCCCGAACTTCTTGCAATCTCTGTAAAACCAATAACGTGTAAGAATTGGCTTTCTCTTGGACTTGTCAAACTCCAGTTTTGTAAACCCACAGATTGCAGTGAATGACCTCCCAGCCTTCAATAACTAGGACATAATAGATGATGGAGTGAAATATGGTTTTATACTGTTATCTATCCTTCCTTGCAATCAAAGAAGTGCTGAAACCTCTGTTTCTCAAGCTTAGAATGAGTTTATGTCATGATACAGCCGTGACAAAAGGGAATATGTAGAAATGTAAACAACTCCATAGCTTAGAATCAGTTAAAGAGCCATTGTCATGCTCTCACAAGCGTACAATCTATTATAAAAAATATGAAGTGCAGAGAAGAGTACAATCTCGAGACTTTCACATAAAAACATGAATCGTCTCGAGAATGACTCAAGAGAAGTCAAAAGCAAGTGCAAAGAAGTTATAGACAAGTTCTAAAGCCTAACACAAGCATATGACCAGATCACAAGTTGGTTTTTAAAATTACTATGAAGAATAGGTTCCAAATTATATGGAGCACTATGTAAGACACAAATGCCTGATATATTTTAATTTTCTTTTTAATTGATAAGTTATGATATTTTCCACAAGCATCAATAGCTAGTTTTCTACAAGCACAATACAATAGGAGAAAACATGGGGGTGGAAGCTACCTTTTCCAAATATAAATAATGTAAACGGGCCATACAGGTTTAAAACAAGTTCAATCATAGTAAGGTTTTGTTCACAAAGGTTCATACCTTGATCACTGCATCTTTTCCCACACCACTTGGTCCACTGATGACGATAATCAATGGCTTAGGGGGTGGCGCTATTTGGTCTGAACTAAAAGACGAACGTAATGCCGTTTCAAGTCCCCTTAGCAATTCACCCTATCAAGAAGAACGATAATTAGCAATTCACCTATTAAGAAGAAGGGGGTGGCACTATTGGTTCTGAACTAAAAGATGAACCTAATGCCGTTTCAAGTCCCCTTAGCAATTCACCCTATCAAGAAGAACCATAATTAGCAATTCACCTATCAAGAAGAACCAAATAAAAAACACAACAAATTAATTTATATACAAAATTGAATGAGAACATGGCCATTTCTGTTAGTAATAATATTTGAAATCATTTAGTTTCAAAGTTTCACACACAAAACCACCACCTTTGCACACATGATCACCATTATCAAAGTACTGAATGACATAGATGTTTATCACATGCATTTTGTACATCAGTGTTCAATGGTTGGACTCAGGCTACGACTCGCCAGGGGCCTGAGCCTGAGCCTGAGCCTGAGCCTGAGCCTGAGCCTGAGCCTGAACCTAAGCAACCACGGGACGAAGGTGGGTGTTCTTCAAACTTGATTGAGTCCAAGTGGGACTAAGAAAAAAATAAGATTATATTAAAAAGAACAGGAGACTAAAGCGACTCTAGAATTTTGGGCCTAGAATAGCCAGGTTCCCAATCCAGTCCCGACTCAGGAGTCTTGTGACTGGCTATTTTTTAAATACTATGTATTTAAAAGCACATTTCCTTCAGTTTAAAATGTGCTATGCTTTTTCTTGAGTTTCACATGCATTTCTACAAAAATCCCTATAGGCTACTCATAAATTGTCATTGATTTCATAGAAAATACTGGGGTGACCCACTACCAGATACCTCAATGTATTCCTCAAAATCCTGAAGCTGACCTTTTACTAAGTCAATGAAGCTAACATTGTAACAAGGAACAATCAAATACTTAACAATCTATCCATTGCAATAAACTAAGTGAAACCCTAGATAAACCCTAAATCAACAATCAACAATCAACAATACACAAATACAAATTTCCAAAAAGATAAAATACTAGGAATCAACAAGCCACCACTAACAAACACATAAAAATAATACGAATGAAAGAATCAAAACTTTAGTGCATAATGAATTATATGAACCAGACAGAGCACCAAGTCAAATTTCAACAAAAGTGAGGAACATTAGACAAGTACAATTACTCCAAATTCAAATCCAAAAAAATCATGAGTAAATAAAAAAAGGTACAAAATGAAAATAAGGAAATGATGGAATTCAGAGCATATAAACCCTAAAAATCCAAAAGCCCATAGAACCCGCATGCAACAGGGAGAAAAAAAAAGGGAAAAAAACAATGACAGACCAAGAAATTTAAAACACTAAGCCATTGAAACCTGAAAAAACCCTAGAATTCACAACCAAAACAAAGAATTACCAGAACAAAAAACTAAACAACTGAAGAAAATGCAAAGGAACAAACAAACAACCAGGAATACACAGCACAAAAACAACTCAAACAAAATAAGAAAACCCTAAATTCCACAAAAATAACCAAAGAAGTAGAAAAATGAAGGAAAAAACACAAAAGAAAAAGCATATGTTAAAGGCAACCTTATCAGCAACGGAAGGAGGCAGGGGGTCATCGGTTCTGCAAGCCGTAGACATGTAAGAGAGGCTCGCCGGAAAAATATAAGGACAACGCTTTCCGGCAACTTTCTGACCGGAAAATTTTGCAGCGGCAAAAAAACGGCGGGAGGGCAATTCAAACAACGGGAGCTTAGGTCGTAAGAATGAAGCGCAATAGCGGGAGGCGTACATTTCGCCATGTAAGCTGTGCTATGAGAGTGAGCCTCTCCTTTTATACTGTTCAATATTTCAAAGGGGTGGAATGGGTTCGATGGGTTCCGTCGGGTCCGATTAGGTTTGCATGGACCCCTTCGGGTGGGGTTAACTTAAACCCGGACCGGTTCTGGAAATTAAAACATAAAGATTATATTTTTTCAATTATAGAGTATATAAATTTAATAAAGGTGAGGCTGACCCAGACTTGGACTCGACCCGATCCAACCTCAAAAGTATGCAAACCTGACCCAACTGGGACATTTGGACCCAAACCCGACCCTCTAGGTCATTCGGACCGGGACTTGGACTCGGACCCGACCCTCCGGGTCCAACATAAATCAAGACCCTGGACTCAGTTCAGGTCAACCCGACCTGATTGCCTCCCTATATATTTTTTGTTAAAGTGCTTTTATTGTAGTACTAAAGACAATGTAATATAAGGGATTGTCTACAAATATACTATTTATCTTTTGTACAATGAGGTCACAATCATTTTTGTCCTATAGATTTTAAAACGGGTAATTGTAAGATTGCCAATGATTAAACACAAAGTTCAAAAAAAAAAAAAATCAAGTTTTATGACCCATCTCATGCCATCCAATTTGACATCTAATAAATGGGAATGGTTTTGACCTTATTGTACAAAGGTAAAATGTCACTTTACGATCTCATATAATGGTGTCATTTTGTGTCTTCACGGTCAATAACTATAATGGTCGGTGATGGAGAGAGAGTGATTTATCATTTATGGTCGAGAGTAAATTTATCATTTGGCTCAGCCATTCCAATCGAGCATACTATGAAATCATTTATTTTTGTTACAAGGACGTAACAATTATTAGCTAAATATTAGATTGAGTGGCATGAGGTCCAGAAAAAAAAATTTAACTTTTGAGTAAAATGTAGGACACACTTACAATCACCCGATTTAAAATATGGATAAGAGAGACCCATGTTACTCTAAGGCTCCAAACTTTGAATTGCATATCTGTTTGAAAAATTATGTTCCATCCGAAAATGAGAGCATGCAGAGGTATTTAAGTCATTAAACTTTGACTATTGAAATGGAGCCGTGAGGTTTGTAGAAGGTAGCCTCATTATACTGTAGAAGTAAGGCACTTCTAGAAAATTTGTTTAAATAAGTTGTTTCGGTGTCAAAAACCTTATGATGGCTTCAAAATATCTTTTTATTTTCAGTTATATATTTTAAAAATTAAAAAATGGTACAAATCGAACAGGTCAATAAACACTTGAAAATAGACTGTCCATATAACTTGTTACAAGATACACTATATTTTTTACTTGAAATTCTTTTTGTTCTTCGTGTCCATTCATCTCAAGGTCGAAATGATTAGTTGGAGGGTTTTCTTATATCGGAACACCCTCCACTCTAGGATTTTTGAGGTGTACCTAACTTCAACAGTATAAGATTATATAAACTTTTTCCTTATCAAAATATATTGTTTTTCTAGGATTTCAATTTCGAAAAAAGAGCGTTTTCAGTTCTTTTCAACCAAATAATTGGGAGGTACATGGTTGAACTCATAATTCCACAGTATCCATTGTCGATAAATATTTGAAAAATTTATGTGCGGACCTCAAGCAAGATGGCCTAATAAAAAAAACGGATCCATATTTTCAGCCATTTTACGGTAAGGTCATTTTTTTTGAGTTGCTTTTATTCTTGTTTTACATCCATCCAACTTTCGAACATCGCATTTCGGTAATTCGAAAGTCTAACATTTGAGCAATACAAAATACCAAAAATATTAAATGTTTTAGCGGTTTGAAAATCTAATTATTTAAAAATAAACTTTTGAACCACCCAAACACAGATGTAATAGTTGTTATGTTTCAGACAGATCCAAAAGTGACTTACTTTTTTTGTACTTTTGGCAATCTAAACATTAGACTTTTCGAATTTGGACAAGCTTTTTATGCTTCCTTTATAGCATAGAAGTTCTATCCTCCCTCTTATCCAACCGTCCATTCTGAATGGAGGGTTCAGATTGCCCCAATCACAATGTCACGTCTCTACACTATTTTGTTTTAATTTATTTTTCTATAAGCTATTTTGACAACAAATTTTGAATGTCCATTCCTCTATTAAACTCGCACTAGCGAAAAATATATAAAAAAATATTTTCAATAAAATAAAATGAGCAAAATACCCCTGAAAGTTTCAAAAGGTATTTTGGTCATTATATTTTATAAAAAATTTATTTTTAATATTTTTTATAGCTGCGCCCCAATGAAAAGATGGCACGTACTAAATTTCATATTCATATAAATTGTATTAAAAAAACTAAAAATAAAATACTTTAAGACATTGGATCTAAGATCAAATGGTGAGTGGCGCTCTTGATCAAAATTGGACGGCTGGATGGTAAGGGAAGGATATAACTTTTACGTTGTACGGAAGCCTAGAAACCTTTCCCTTCGAATCTAGGGTAAAATTTAAGAATTAAAAAATTTGAAAAGTAAAACCTCCTCTTGTCATATCATATTTTGGGGTACTATGTAAAATTCTTTTTAAAATTTTATTATACTTTTAAGATGGTTGAAGATTTTCTCATCGAATTTTTTTTTAAATTTCATCGTAATGACCTACTCTCTTTTTTCTTTTTTTTTAACAAAAAGTTACTGAAATTCTCAATAATGCCCTTAAATCGACCTGTGCCATCCATCATCATAGATGACTGGCAGATTTGCGGCTGTGATGGTAAAAAATAAGACGTGCACATGATAATGTAGCCTTGCAAAGATTTACATGATGGGTTTATGTATTATTTATCCAATTTGTTGCACAAATAAAATGATATATATACAATGAGACCATTTATTTTTCATGCAACGAAGTCACAATCGATATATATTATTATATTGTAATGACATATTATATTATTAATACATAATATATAACAAAATATAATAAGTAATATAATGTATTTTTTACATTATATATATATTTTACTATTGTATATGTGCATATATACAATATATAATACAATATTTATTATAATATTATTGCATCATATTTTAAATTAAAATAAACATAACATGTATAACATAATATAACGACATAACATTTGTATATTATATTTATTTTATTAATTTATATTTGTATTATATATAATTATATACTATAGTAATATTATAAATTATATTATAATAGTATTTTATTTATATTATTATATATATGTTTAAAATATATAATATACATTATTATATATATGCTTAATATATACAATAAATAATATATAACATATATCATATTACACTAATAATACAAATAACATCGATAAAATAAATATCGAAGACTTGAGCATAAATAAGTTCTCAAATACAAGTTCTTGACTTAGTCATGGAATAAATAAATAAATAAATAATAAAAAAGTTGAGGCATAAAAATTTTTCAATAAGTTATGGACACTGTAGCATTTTGTGTGCGTCAAACATTGATTTACTATGGTGTTAGGGACTTATTTGTGATAGGAAAATAAGTTCCCCCAAAAACAAACGTGCCCTGAGTAAAATTTTGAGGCCTGCCTTAATTTGATTGTTTAGGGTCTCACTTTTATATAAACTTTTTCCTTTTTAAATTTCTAAAATATATCTTCCCCTAATGTCCCATATTATCGATCCCAACGAATTTGGATCCAAAATCTATGTTTAACATGAATCATGAAGGGGAGCACATATGAATAGATGAGTCGGGCGGACTACCAAAGTTAGATCCATAGGCATTTTTTCCCTACATAAAGTAAACTCTTTAATATTAGTTTAGCCATTAATGTACGCCAATCCGTTGTCGTCTAGTCCGGTTAGGATATCTGGCTTTCACCCAGACGACCCGGGTTCAAATCCCGGCAACGGAAACGACTCTTTTTAAAAAAAGCACTTCAAATTCTAGACTTCAACATTCCATAAACAACTCCATATTTTAAACCTAAAAAATCTAATTCTACCTGAACATTCCATAAAAAACAATATTTTTTTAAAAAAATATTATTAAATCTTATTCTACTTAAACATTCCATAAAAAATCTTCTTATTAAATCTTATTCTATCTAAACATTCCATTAAAAAAATCTTTTAAAAAAAAGAATCTTATTAAATCTTATTCTACCTAAACATTCCATTTACAGAAGCTCTCTAAGCACCTTTTTTTTTTTAAAAAAAAAAAAATCTTATTAAATCTTATTCTACCTAAACTAAACATTCCATTTACAGAAGCTTTCTAAGCAACTCTTTTTTTTAAATAAATCTTATTAAATCTTATTCTACCTAAACACTCCATTTACGGAAGCTTTCTAAGCACTTTTCTTTTTATTAAAAAAAAAAAAACAAGTCTTAATCGACAAACATTACATTTATTTGCAAGAATGTAAACCTAGGGGTCTTGAGACACGTTGTTCTTTCTTTTTTTTTCTCATTATCACAAACAATTTATTTACAAGAATTTAGACTCATGAACATGAGAGAGAAATAGGGGTGGGAATGGACGGGACCCAACGTCCGGACCAGACCTGGGTCCGAGTACGGATCCAATACTTGATCCAACCCGAATAGTGTTGTTAACTATTTTAATAATATGTAATATATAGTATTTAAATATAACTATATATATATATATTATTATAAAATTTAAATACTACATGTATATATTTGACATAACATTTATTTTTTTATATTTTAAATAATTTTATTTTTTATTTTTGGATCAAATCCAATCAAGTCATGTCCAGGTCCTTGAGACATCAGTTGTTCTTTGTTTTTCTCATTATCACAAACAATTTATTTGCAAGAATTTAGACTCATGAACATGATAGAGAAATAGGGGTGGTTGGACCCGAAACCCGACATCTTGACTAGACCCGGATCCAAGTATGGGTCCAAGAATTGTAACCAAGCCAAATAGTATTATTATCTAAATAAATATTTAATATGTAAGATTTAATAATATTTAAATAAATATAATTATCTTTTTTAGTTATAATATTTAAATAATACATGTATATAATTAGGGTACGGTTTGTATAGAGCCTAGGCTCTAAACAATCAAATTAGAACCTACCTTCAAATAGTGTTGAGAAATGTGGTTCAATATTAGAAATCTTTGTAATAGCCTTAAAATGTATTTTTATATTTATTTATTAAAGCTTCAAAAGTAGTGTAGATTGACAGATCTATAAAAACTTGAAAATCTTAAAGATTAACGGCCCAAAAATGCGTTACAAAATATACCATTTTCAAAACTTGAAATCAATTTTTTTCCCATGTTCATGCATCGTGATGTCGAGATGATCAATTTGAAGATATTTGGGCATCAAAACAACCTCTTCTGATGAAATTTTTGAGGTAGGCTCAAATTTGATTGTTTAGAGCCTCGGCTCTATATAAATTTTTCCCATATAATTAACATAACATGTAAGTATATAATTTTTTATTTTAAATATTTTCCTTTTTTATTATCAAGTCCTTTCAGGTCTGGGTCCTTGAGACACCCGTTATTCTTTTTTTTTTTTCTCATTATCAAAAACAACTTATTTTTAAGAATTTAAACTTATGAACGTGAGAGAGAAATAGGGGTGGGAATGGACTCGGGACCCGACATCCGGATTAGAAGAATTGGACCCAACACGACTGGAATAGTGTTACTATGTTAAACTATATTTAATATATAATATTTAAATAAATATAACTATTTATTTATAACTTTTTAATAATACAGTTATATATTTGACATAACATTTAAAGATTTTATTTTTGGTCAAGTCCTTTCAGGTCCGGGTCCTTGAGACATTGGTTGTTCTTTTTTTTTTTCTTTCTCATTGTCACACAATTTAGTAGGGGCAAGCTTTCTATGCTCCTCCTACAGAATAGACGTTCTATCCTCCCCCTTATCCATCGTCCATTCTGAATGGT